TTATTGGTCTGAAAATTTAATAAATAAGTACTAAAATAAATAAATAATAATATATTGATTGTTGGTGTGTTAAATCTGATTAATTAATTAAAGTATATTTCTAGTTATCTCAACACGTTATAGTATTCTGGTTTTAAGCTTTTTTAAATAAAAACTATAATGTTTGACTTTAATTATTAATTAAAGACGAAAGATACTTATCACCAAGAACAAAATAAAAGATTTTAATTTATGCGTAAAAAATAAATAACCCAATAAATACGAGTTATCATGTGTAATAACATTAGATACACTTTTGTTTGATACTTTGTAAAAGAAGTTACCAGCGATAAGTGCTTATCGGTAAAAATTTACACTACCATTTTTTTTTACCTGGTAAGATTTTAGTTCATCAAAATGATATCGTACGCAACAATTTACCTGATAAGTGCTTACCGTGATAAGAATCGTCGTCCTCACTTACCGGGTAAGATTCTTGGTCCTTGTCTCGCTCTTACCGGGTAAGATTCTTAGTCCTTGTCATATTCATTCGATAAGGTAATGTGACTTGGTACTTGGATAAGCGTTTGGTAAACAACACCTAAGATTTTCAAGTTTAAGGTTATGATATAGTTGTTAAAACTTAAGGATGTAATGAAATAATTCATTTATCTTGAATTTGACTCCAAACGTTCACCACAATTATGATCACTAGGTTTACTAGAACTAATATCTTATAGTTGACTTTATCAGATCTGATAGACTTGCAAACTAAACCAAGATTTTTAATCTATTGAGTGACTCATCCTAAAATTCATGACAAATTTGATTGAGGGTTAACTTTTTTCTCCATTTTTAAGGTTCCACTTTTAACCTAATCTCAATATATATTAAAAAGCTTTAAGAACAAAAAAAAAATATTAAAACATTTTATCAACCGTTAAATTTAGAAAATATACATAGATGACGAAGAGATTTCTGTTCTTATTGTTCAGGGTTCAGAATTCCATTGACCCCACTCTCATATATTAATTGCGTGAGAAATAAAACCTATTAAAAATGTCTACACATATTAGCACGAAAGATGTTAAAAAAGTTAGCATACATTAATGTATAATAACATGTTAACTTACATGATTTTTCATTAATAAAGTATTTATTATGGTTTTCCAATAAAAAAATGAATTTTCACCGAAACCCATCTATATAGGGAAAAATATATGTATTTTTAGAAAAAAAAATATGGTTATAACCACATTTTTAATCACATCAGTTAGATCATCTCAAACTACTAGTTTAAATGAGTCATTTGATTCTTTTATATTTCCAAGTTTTCTCTCTATATATCAAAAATAAAAAGATTTTGAATAAATTGTTTGGTTAAACATATGGATCACACAAAAATGTCTTATTAACGACATTACGGTTGAGTATATAAAATATACAAAATAATTATAAAAAGAAAAAACCAATTAAGTCAGTCATTTTTGTATCACAAATATATATATGTTTTGTTTTTAAATAAATAAAGCAATAATTCCAAGAAGGAAAATTCTCCATCCAATTAATTAATATTTATTGGTGAGCAAATGAATATCATTAATTAATTTGTAATGGTGATAATTAAAAATATAAACTTAAAAAAAATATATAACTTCCATCAATCATCCTAACAAAATATAATACTACTTATGTCTTGAAATAATTATCCGCGTTATTATTAATGTTTATTTTAAAATAAGTATCTATTTTTAAAAATACTTTTAATAATACACAAACATTTAACTTATGGACACTTATTTTGGAATGGAGGGAGTAATTCTTGTCAGATATATATATATATATATATATATCAGGGTTTTTGGTTATACCCTGGGTATTGTTAGAAAAACAGGTATATGGTATGGATATCGATGATAGAATTGGGATTACAGTTGGATTATGAACAAAATAATTGTTCGTAAGTAATATTTTGATTCTATTATCTGTTATAGCTTATGAGTATTATGAAATTTACAGAGGGATAATCCAAATAAGCATCATAGATGTGTTACC